AGAAGTGGGCAAGGAGCAGGAAGGGGCAGGGTTTGCAGATATGAGAGGGAGACCACTGAGAAGACAGTTCTGAGTAAAGACCCTAGCGGCAGAGTCCGGAGAGCAGCATTCTAGACAGAGGAGCCACAGGTGCAGCGGTCCTGGGGAGGCACCTCTCCAGCAGGGGGGCCAGCGTTCTCTGCTCCCAAAACACACGGTGGGGCTGGCTCATCCCACTTGCCCCTGTCCTGCTGAGTCTGCAGAGAACCAAGGACAGATGTGACCTGCTTCGTGGTTGCAGGGGTGGGGAGGCCCCTGCCGGTGATGCGTGAGGATCGAGGAATGGAAACCACCCAAGTGTCCCTCAAGGGAAGCGGTCAGAAGCCAGACAGAGCATCCCATGGGCCAGGGAAAGGCCAGCCGGGGAGCCGGGCTATGAGCGGGGATCTGCCCCACGAGTACGAAGGGCTCTAGGTGGCCACGCAGCGTGTGTAGGGTGACGCCGTCATCGCGGAGAAGAGCAAGGGTAGAAGCAAGCCCGGGCACCTGGAAGGGCCCACACGCCCCGTGAGGCCGGGGAGGGCGGCGCTCCCTGCGCAGTCACCACACTTCCGTGTGGCCGCGGCTCTGTGAGACGCAGCTGCATTCATTTTTCTAGTAAAAATAGAAAATAGTGAAAGACTTTTTTTTAAAGGATTTTTTAAAAAATAGAAAATAAAAGGTAGTGGAAAATATTCACGATACCAAGGAAACATCAAATAATTAGAAATAAAGATAAGAAATTTGCAGCACCCGCAGAAGAAAGAAACGGGGTGCCTGGGGGGCTCCATGGGTGAAGCCTCTGCCTTCGGCTCAGGTCATGGTCTCAGGGTCCTGGGATCAACCCCACATCGGGCTCTCTGCTCAGCAGGGTGTCTGCTTCTCCCTCTCCCTCTGCTGCTCCCCCTGCTTGTGAACGCTTTGTCTCTCTCTCTAATAAATGAATGAAATCTTTAGAAAGAAAAAAAAAAAGAAGAACGAAACAGAAAGATACACCATGTTTCTGGACTTCATTTCTTAATTGTTTTTTTAAAAATCTGTTCTTCCTTAATCTATGAGGCTCACAGAATCCAATCCCATCAGTACAGGGGCTTTAGAACTTGACCCCAGTGTTCTTTGGGAAGGTGATGGCACAGGCACAAAACCCTCTTGAAGACTGTGGTGCTACCAGGACACGTGCGTGGTCATTAGGAGGGTGGGGGGCTGGAGCCGCCGCCATGGCTGGCATCCCAGCCCCCACGCAGCAGGACCCAGACACACCCAAGGACCGATGATGTCACACACGTGTCATTTCTAACACACTCGTGTGACTGAGTGGATGGGGTCCTCGTACCCGGTCTTGAGACGAAGGGCAAATCTTTTGCAAAAATCGTGCCAAACACCAAAAAATATTCTGAATAAAGACGAAAGTAGCAAAAATGAAACACAATACAGAGATCGAGATGAATGTCTTTTTCCTCTTGGGATGGAGAGGAACTTTTAAAGTTCAGTAGGAAAACTGGAGATCACGAAGGAAAAAGCCACTGGATGTGACTTCACGATGCAGGACAGTCACGTATACAAATAGCGCTGAACACGAAGACGTCCGCGACAAGCCCAGGAGAAGGCTGGCGGCCAACACCCGCGGATGACGCGAGAGTCAGTGTCTTTAATGTTCAAGCAGCGCTCGGATCAGTAAGGGAAGGACAGACAGTCAGCAGTGAGACCCAGCACAGTGGAGCCGGCTTCCTCCCTGTCCCTCCCCGGCCCCATTTCTCCCACCCCTGCCCAGCACAGTGGGGTGCTGTGGGGAAGGGGTGCCGCTCTGGGGCTCTGGGGCCTGTACCCCTAGGAGGCCATCCAGAGGCAGGGGGAGGCGGCAGTCCCCCGTCTTAGCCAGGAGAGGGGCTTGTCTGGTCATTTTTGTGGGGAGCACCCGCTTGCACAGCTGGAAGCACAGCTGGCCTTTTCCCCTCAGGTCAGAGAGTGGCCTCGTCTGGGATCTTCGGTGTCCTCAGGAGCACCGGGGACCCAGCTGGGAGGCTTGGCCGCCTCATCTCTCCCCTCTGCCTCTGTGGCTGAAGCTCTGAGCCCAGCGTCGTTTGTCCCTGCAGCCCATGAGCCCAGGCCAGGGGCTGGCAGCTCTGCCCCATCTTCCGAAGCCCGGTCACAGGGAGCCTCGGGAGGGTCTGGCGGCCAGATGGGCCCAGGACCTACTGTGTGCCTGTCCTCTGCCTGGAGGTTCATTTAGTCTCTGGGAAGTCCTACAGGAAATGTGCTTAACGTGCTCCGTTAACGTGCTTAGGAAAGAATGTTCCCCTCCCGGCGCGTTTACAGACACGGCACGTGAAAGTGCGCTCGCGGAACACCAGTTTGGGAAACCAGCTCCAGACCGAGCAGAGGGAGGCAGCCACTGTCCCCAGGAGCCTGCCGTCCCGGGAGGAGAGTGACGGCTGTGAGCTCCTGCTGCCCGGGCACTGTCCCTCCGTCTCCTCGGCCCGACCAATCTACAGGCAGCCGGAACCCTCACCTGACCTGGAGTAAGAGGAAAGGGTCTCGAACCCCAGCGCCCAGACGGACACTCGTGCCCGACCTCTTCCCGAGCGTGCCGGCGTCTGCCCTTAGCCCTCCGGGCAGGCACCTCGGCCGCGGCCCGCTCTCTTGCTTCGCTTGCCCGAGAGCCTTCTCCGGCTGCCTGGGCGGGACCCCGAGTCCCTCCTGCTATTTCTGGGGCCGCTGCAGAAACACAGGACAGCATGCGGGCTGACTTTGGGGGCTATCGCTCCCCAGTCCCAGAACATGAGCAGCCAGCTTGCTTGCACCTGGACCGGGCTGGGATCCCCTCTGGCTACACGTGACCACCCCGCCGCCGCGGGCCTGGGCCCCTGGAGTCTGGAGGACGCCCGCAGGCCCGAAAGCACCTGAACTTCCCTGTCCTCCCCCAGCCGCTGCCAGGATCAAGCTGTAGGTGACCCTGTCAGGCCGGAAGAGGGTGTTGGCAGCCCCCTGAGAGTGACCCCCAGGCACGTGGGCCCTCCTCCCATGCCCTCCGTGGTCTGAGGCTGTGGGGGCTCCTGCAAAGGCTGTCGATGTGTTTGACCCGTGCCCACGCCCCAGCCGTGGGAAGGCAGGGGGTCAGGAGGCCCGGCCAGGGTTCACCTGGACAGCTTCGAAACAGGTCCCTGTGGGGCCTGCAGGAGGCCGGGTACACCGGCAGGGCTCAGCCAGTAATTCCCATAGAGGTGGAGAGAACCTATTTTAGGTCCTGCCCTTTGCTCCCACAAGGGACTCTCCACGTGTGTGATGTTAGGCTTCCTGGGGTTTCCACGGGCAAGAACAGGTGTCCAGAGATCCCCAGAGGCCTGGCACCCACAGCCAGCAGGACAAGACCGCGTATCTCATGGTCTGGTCCTGGGGATGGCATTAGGACCTGAGCTGGTCACCAAGAGGCTAGCTAGCTCCTCTGGGGTCTGTCTCCAGACCACCAGGGCACCTGCTCTCTGTGACCTCCTGCAGACTGCTGCAACAGGGTACCCAGGGACCCCCCAGACAGACAGCAAGGCCACTGCGTGGGAGCATCCTGGGGCCACACCAGCACTTGTCCCCCACCCCGTGCATAACGTTCTATGAGCCTCCGTCCCACACGGGGAGGACCGGTGGCTCCTGCCCCCCCCCAAGATGCTCTTCCTGCCGCGTGAGCCCCACAGCAAGAACACGGTCCCTTCCGTGGAGCCAGAACGGCCCCTGCAGCCCCGCAAGGAGCCCGGCGTCCTCCAGACTCTAGAACAAGGCGAACAGGCCCAGAGGCTCAGCAGCGACGCTGGGGCCCAGCGTCCCTGTGATGATCTCGTCCCCGGTGTCCTTGCTAAATGACACCCAAACGAAGCTAAGGAGAGGAGAGAGAGCAACAGAGACGGTTCCACTGCAAAAAATTAAATTTAAAATTAAAAATACTGGGGGCACTTGGGTGGCACCGTCGGTTAGGGGTCCAACTTCCAGTTTCAGCTCAGGTCACGATCTCAGGGTCGTAGGATGGAGCCTGAGTTGGGCTCCGTGTCGGGCTCCGCATCGGGCTCCGCGCTCGGTGGGGAGTCTACTCGGGGTTCTCTCTCTCCCTCTCCCTCTGCAGCCCCTGCCCGTGCTCTCGCTCTCTCTAAAATAAGTAAATCTTTTAAAAAAATGTTAAAAGTCAAAAATAAACAATTTTAGAAGAAATACTTTTAAGTATTTATAAGGGTATCTTAAATATCCTGTATTCACGTAACTAATATTATTATAATATCCACGTTACCCGAAGCAGTCTACCGACCCCGTGCCACCCCTGGCAAAACTCCGATAGCCATTTTTCACAGAAATAGAACAAGCTATCCCAAAATGTGTATGGAAACAGAACGGACCCCACATGGCTAGAGCAATCTTGAGGAAGAACAAAGCTGCAGACGTTGTGTTTCCTGATTTCAAACTGTATCGTGGAGCTGTGATACTTAAAACGGTGCGAGAGCCACATAAAACAGACACGCAGATCGGCAGACACACGTAGAACAGACAGCCCAGAAGGAAACCCGTGGGTGTGTGGCCAATTAATTCATACCAAGGAGCCAAGAATATACAACGGGAAAAGGACAGTCTCTCTTATCAATGATGTTGGGGACACTGGTCAGCCTCACGCAAAAGAATTAAACAGGGCCACCTTCTTCCACCACACAGGACAGTAAACTCAAAAACGGGTTAAAGACTTGAACGTTAAGAACCGAAACCTTAAAACTCCAAATTTGTAAGTTTCCTATCTGATAAGGCGTCAATGTTCAAAACAGACAAGGGACACATACAATGCACTACCCGTAAAACAAGCAATCCTATTGAAAAACGGGCGGCAGATCTGCATAGTGCCTCTTTTACCCAAACAAGACCGACAGATGTCCCACGGGCACATGAAAAGGCGCTCACTATCACGAATCAGGGAAATGTAAATCAAAACCACAGTGAGACCACCTCGCACCTGTTAGCGTGGCTAGGATCAAAAAGACAAGGATGCGGAGAAAGGGGAGCCCTCCTCCTTCTGGCGGGAACGCAAGCTGGGGCAGCCGCTCTGGAAAACAGCGTGGAGGGTCCTCAGAAAGTTGAGAATAGAGCTGCCCTCCGACCCAGCAACCGCACTTCAGCAATCGAAAGAAAACAAAAACACTGACTCAGAAAGCGATGTGCACCCCCGTGCTCACTGCGGCAGGTGCACAACAGCCCAGACCTGGAAACCACCTAAGTGTTGGTGGGAGGATGGAGAGAAAACACGCGGCGTGCGGACAGCGCTCCCGTGTGCCCTAAAAAGAAGGAAATCTTGCCATTTGCAACGTGGAAGGACCTTGAGGACGTTATGCCGAGTGAGTAAGTCCGACAGAAAGACAAACCCCATCTGACCTCTTTTTTGTTTTATCTAAATTTATTTAAATTCAATTAACACAGAGTGTATTAACTAGTTTCACAGGTAGAGTTTGGTGACTGGTCAGCGGCGGACAACACCCAGCGCTCGTCCCATCGAGCCCTCCTTCCTGCCCGTCCCCCAAGTCACCACCACCCCCGCCCCCTCCCCTCTGGCGACCTTGACTATTTTCCAGAGTTTAGCATCTCTTACGAGTTGCCTCTCTCTCTGTTTTGGTCTTAAGTTTATTTCCCCTTCCCTTCTCTTCCCCTGCGTTCCTCTGTTTTGTTTCTTAAATTCTACATAGGAATGAAACCCTGTAATTGCCTTCCCCGTACGACCTCTCTTAGGTGTGGAATCGAAACGCACACACCCACACGCACACGCGCACACACACCCCGCGCTCAGGGCCGCAGAGAACGGGCTGGTGGTCGCTGGAGGGGGAGGCCGAGGGGTCGGGTGACGAGCTGGGTGGAGGTGGCCGAAAGACACGCTGTTCCGGGTACAAAATAAGCAAATCCTGAGAACATAACGCACCGCGGGGACGACAGCTGACGACACCGCGTGGTTAAACAACAGTAATAATTCCAGCAAGTTCTGTACTTTTACCTTTACAGTCAGGTTGCCGAGCTCTTAGTCCCAGCTTCCCACAGACTGCACAGCTGCCCCGTTATCTTTTGTCATCGGGCGACAGCCTGGCAGGGGGAGGTCTGTCCCCACGGACGAGCGCCGCTGACACACTGTCACCCACGCTAACTGGCCGCGGTGCACTCCTGTTTCCTCCCATTTCCCTCCCGTCCTTTTCTCTCCCAAGACCCCGCGGGACATTTCAGTTGCAGGTCTCCCTGGGCTCCTCTTGGCTGTGACCGTGTTGTGGACGTCCTTAGCCTCTGCTCAGGACCTTGGCGGTTTGGAGAACGCCTGGGCGGGACCTTGCAGAAAGTCCCTCTACTGGAATCTTCTGCAGATGTTCTCATGGGTCGAGAGATTAGAGCTCGTGGGCTGTTGGGAGGAAGACCCCAGAGCAGGAGCGCCCTCCTTGTCACTGAGGAAGTCAAGCCGGGTCACCCAGCAGAGGCGGGGGTCCGTGCAGAATCACCCCCCCCCCCCCCTTCTGCACTTTTCACCGGAAAGTCACTGCGCCCACATCCAAGCTGGGGGAAAGGGAGTTACTACCCCTCCCCCGGTATCACCCCAACATCTGCCCAGCCCTGTAACCGTCCTGAGGCCGGGCCCCTGCGGAGTCCCCAGGAGGGCTCAAAGGTGTCCCCCTCCCAACCACGGCCCCCCACCCGCTGTCCCTGGGCCCATCCCACCCGCAGTAAATGCCCCCCAGCTCCTTTTTCCTCAGCCCCACTCTGGAAGCCACCCCCAGCTACCCAAGCCAGCACAGAACTCCCTCACCCCGACCCTTGCCCCTCCTGCCCTCCCCGCGGGCGCCCCGCCCCCCCCCCCGCCCCGAGCACCGAGCCCCCCCGCCCCCCCCCAGCACCCCTCCCCCACCCAGCTCCCTAGCTGCCCCCCAACTCCGCCCCCCTCCTCCCACACCCTAAACCTCCTCACAGAAGTGGGCTCTTAACCACACCCATCCTGAGGGCGGTCCTCCCCCTCCCCCACGCACCCCCAAACCCCCACCTAGTATGAGTGCCCCGCGTGAGCCCTTCACCCTTCCACCCAGCACCCCCTGGCAGTGAGGGTTTCCACACCCCTCTGCCGCGCCCCCCCCCCGCCCCCGCACGTCAGGCGTCACGTGGGAGCCCTGCGCAACCCCCACCCCAGTACTCTCCTGCGGGTCCACACCCCTGGCCCCCAGTTCTTCGACTGCAGGCGTTTTCTGGGAAGCCCCCGTCACGGTGTCATGGCTCTCTCGCCCAAGGGGACCCCGAGTATGGAGGCCCTGGGCCGCTCCGACCCCGAGCTGCCCCCCGAGGAGGAGCCGTGGCAGGCCACCTGCGAGATCCGTGAGCCCTTCCTACTGCTCCTGGCCTCCTGCGCTGGGGGTGTCATCAGGGGAGACCACAGGAGGGGGTCTGGGGGACCCTATGGGAGGAGAGAGCACGGGGGTGTCAGAGGGACCCACAGCTGGGGGTGGCCCCGGGGCCCTCCAGCCCACCTCAGGCCCCCTGCCCTCCCCTTTGTGGAGAGAAGCCCATCGGGCCCTCCAAGGTGGCGGGGGCCCTGGGCCGGGAGGGACAGCCCACAAGGGACACACTGGGCCTCGGGGCATGATTGGCGCTCCCCGCAGGTCTTCCTGGTCAGAGGTGCTGGGTCAGGAGGGGTAGGCAGCACCGTAGGGGGGGCCCAAGCTGGGTGATCAGGTGCGCCCCTGTGCTGGGAGCCAGGGTTCTCAGGCAGAGGCCCACCGGCCGTTTTCTCCCTCTGTCCGTGTCCTGTCTCCCGGCGGGGTCTCCATGTGGTTGTCCCAGTCCTGGAGCCGGACACAGAGCAGAGCATGGATGTCATCCTGGTGGGTTCCAGCGAGCTGTCCGCGCCGGCTTCCCCTGCGCCCTGCAGAGGTGAGGGCTCATTCGAAGACGGGTCCCTCCCCGAGGGTGCCAGCCCCAGGCCTGGGCCATGTCTACGGTGCCAGGCTTCTGGAATACTCACATACCTGGCAGAGGCGGGACGGCACCCCTCCCCCGCCGCCCGTCAGGTCCCGTGAGATCAGGTCACCCTGCGACACTTGGCCGCGTTTCCATGAGAGGAAGGCCGGAGAGGGAGCGGCCCCTTCTCGTTTTGTTTTTCAGGGCTTCTTGCGCATGAAATCAGGGTGAACCAGAGGGACATAGAAGGTGAGCCCTGGCGGGGGTGGAGGGCAAGGTCAGCCGTCTGCGGCCAGCCTTGCTCGGCATCATGGAGAAGGCCGTGGCCGTTGTGGGGGTCCTGCTCCTCTCCCCGCACCCACCCCAGGGCCCCAAAGCTTCATTCCAGTGTCTCCCAGTACAGTCCCGGAGTTACGCAACCTTCCCCACAGTGGAGATTTTCACTTCACTTTCCATTCCCCCAAAAAGAAACCCAGGACCCCACCTGGGGTACTGCCTCCCCTTTCCAGCATTAGGCAACCATGAATCTCCTTTGTTTTTCTGTGTTTCTCTGTGGATTTGCCGGTTCTTCATCCCTTGGGTTTCCATATGCATTTTCTAAAGATTTGTTCATTGGAGAGAGCGAGCACACGTGCAGGGGAGGGGGGGCGGGGCAGGGAGGAGGGGCAGACGCAAGGAGAGAGAATCTGAAGCCTACCGGTGCCCAGCACACAGCCCGAGGCAGGTCACTTTGAGGTTGTGACCCGACCCAAGCCAAAATCAGGAGTCAGTCGCTGACCCAAGGAGCCACCCACACCCCCCATATGCATTTTAGGGTCCGTTTATCAATCTTTGCAAACAAAAGAACCCAAACCAGAAAAGCCAGCTGGGACTCTGAGAGGGGTGTGTGCACCGGCGGGGGGGACCCAGCGCAGTGACCAGGTCGAGTCCCCTGGATCCGGGAGCAGGGGCTCCTGTCCGTGCGTGGGCCTTGCCCTCCTTGTGTTCCGCCGTTGCTAAGTGTGTCGCTCGTTTGCCGGTGCCACGACCTCCGCTGCCACGACCTCCGCTGCGACCCCATGCGCTCAGACGTGTGCATCTGCTGCGGGAGCTTCCAGGTGCACACGCAGCACCCGCTGTTTGAGGGCGGCATGTGCGCCCCCTGCAAGGTAAGTGGGGAGCCGGGGGGCCTTGCTGGGGGCCTTGGGGCCGGGGAGGTGCCAGCCCAGCTCTGCCCTCTCCAAGGACAAGTTTCTGGACTGTCTCTTCCTGTACGACGATGACGGGTACCAGTCCTACTGCTCCATCTGCTGCGCCGGGGAGACCCTGCTCATCTGTGAGAACCCGGACTGCACCCGGTGCGGCTGGGGGCGGGGCTCAGCGGGGCAGGGGGCGGAGGAGGTGGGGGGGGGGCTTGGGTGGAAGTGGGGGGCTCAGCCCGGGGGTCCGGGGGGGCGGCACTCAGCGGGGGTGGGGGACTCTGTGGGGGGCTCTGTGGGGGGCTCAGAGGGGGTGCTCAGCCCGGGGAGGGGGGCCTCTGTGCAGCAGGTGGCTCAGAGCGGGGGTGGGGCTCAGCCCCGGTGGGGGGTTGCGGGGAGGGCAGTAGGACCTCCGTGCCGTAGGGGCCTCGGCATGGGGGGCGCTCAGAGCCGTCGGGAAGGCGGGACGGTGAGCCCCTGCCCACCATCTAGGGCTCGCCCAGCCTCTGGGTGCCTCAGCCGGAGAGTGGGGGGACGTGCCCCCAAGACGATTTCCATCTCCAGCCCAGTGTCTTGTGTGGTGTGGAGCCTTGACGTGGGGGCGGTGGGGTGTTAGGAGATTTGCGTCCCCGAGTTTTCGCCTCACTGTTGTCAGTGCCAGGGCATGCGGCAACCTCAGTCATGAGCGGGGAAGTGACGCACACCCGCTCCCTGGGGACAGGCGGTCAGGCTCGGGGCCAGGCAGGGGCCGCCCGCGCCCCAGCTGCGGTCCTCCCCTGGGCCACTGTACTTCCGTCTCCCTCCCACCTCCGGCTGGTGTCCTGGCCCTCGGCTTGGCTGGGAGACCCTGACTTCCCACAGCCAGAGCGGATTCTGAGGAATCTGCCGGAAAATCGCAGATCACCCCCCACACCGCTATCTTCTGCAGACGCTTGCCCCTGTCACTCTGGGTTCCTGGGAGGGACTGGGCCCCGTTCCGGGGGTCAGCTTATTCTCACCCCGCCCCCCAGGAGCATGAGGGAGGCTTCTCCCTCGCTCCGAAGCCAGAGCCGGCTCCCAGCTGCCCGGTGGCCGAGGGAAGGCCGCGTCCGTGACCGTGACCGTTTGACTCTAGATGCTACTGCTTCGAGTGTGTGGACACGCTGGTGGGCCCCGGGACGTCGGGGAGGGCGCAGGCCATGAGCAACTGGGTGTGCTTCCTGTGCCTGCCCTTCCCCCGCAGCGGGCTCCTGCAGAGGCGGCAGAAGTGGCGGGGTGGGCTGAAGGCCTTCTGTGACCGGGAGTCGGTGAGGGGCAGCGAGGGGGCGGGGGTGGGGGCGGGGGCGGGGGGAGGGCGGCTGGGGGAGGCTGGGGACTGGGCTTCCAGGACTGAAGGCGAAGCGCAGGGCCCTGACTGTCACGTTTCTCTGCTACTAGTGGCTCTGAGAGCCGATGGTGAAACAGGCTTGAAGCAAATGCTGTTGCCTCGTTTTCCTCCCTGAGGGCTCGCCCCACGGGGCGGGGGAGCCCCGGGGTTTGGAGGGCGCACTTCTGCCAAGCAGGGATTGAGCATTCGCGGCAGGTGGGGCTGGGCCTCAGCAGAGGTGGGACCCGAGTCCGGCAAATGGGAGCAAACCCCGAGGCAGCAGGCATAGGCAGGGACGGAGCGCAGTGGGGCACAGACGGGGCACGGACACAGGGCATGGACGCGGGACCTCTCGAGGGTGGAGGCCAGGAGCCGTGAGCTAGGCAGGAGCTGTGGGTTCATCCGAGTGAGTTGAGCTACGTCTTCCAAGTCCTAGCCCGTGGTTCCTGGGACGGGGGCCAATGTTGGAACTGGGGTCTCTGTGGGTGCGACTTAGCTCCGGTTCCCCGGGTGAGATCATCCTGCTTGGGGAGCCCCTGCAAGGCAGTGACAGGTGTCGTAGGAGACAGGGATGGAGACACCCAGAGGGAAGCCGCCACAGGTGAGCGGTGGGAGGGACCGTCTGCCAGCCAAGGAGCTCTTGCCGGCACAGGGACGCTGGGCAGGAGGACCTCCCTCGGAGTCCCCGGAAGGAGCCAGACCAGCTGCACCGGACTTGGGGCTTCTGGGTCTCCAGAGCAAACACACAGGAGTGGTTTTAGGCCATAGCTTGTATTTCGTGTTACGGCAGCCCCAGGAAGCTAGGACGGAAGTATGGTCGCTCTGGGGGAACAGGCAGGGACAGCAAGTGACCCACACCCAGATCTGCCAAAACCGGGCACCCCCTCCAGCTCCCTCAGCCTTGGGCTCCCCCCCAGCCTCGGGCTCCCCTCAGCCTCGGGCTCCCCCCCAGACTCCAGCTACCCCCAGCCTCCAGCTCCTTCTGGAGGTTGGGCAGAGTCTTCTTACCCAGCAGGACTCACCCCGTGGATGTGAGAAGAGGGCAGACCCCCAGCTCCGTGGAGTGGGCTTTCTGGGGCGGCTCCTGTGTGGTGGGAAGCAGGTGGGGTAACGGGGCTGCCCACCGCCCCCCAGGATGTACCAGAGCCACTGTCTCACGGGCAGGGCTGGGGTGCCAGCAGGCTGGGAGAGAGCGTGTGCCGACCCTGGGGTGCTTTCCTCCCTCCGCGGGCTCCCCTCTATCCTGGGACCCGGTGCTGGCCCGGGGCACCCTTAGCCAGTTGCTTGGCCACAGCAGTTCTGGGAACACCCGCACCTCCTTGCTGGTCACCTGGGCACAGGGTGGGCCTGTCAGGCACCTGGCACTGCCCGGGAGAATGGACAGCTTGTGCTCCATGCCTGACGGGCCTTATGGTGCTTCTTGGAAACAGAAGTGCACGTGATCCTAGTAGAACCTTCTTCCCACCCCATCAGTGCAGTCCGTCCCTGTGCAGGCACACACCACGCTTGTCAGCTGCGGGAAGTTCCCCTCAGAAAGGAAATGAAGTTGGTGTCAGGCTGGGTGGGGGCAGGAGGAAGGAGCTCCCCACCGCCACAGCTGCAGCAGGGGCCCAGGATGCCCCCGGGGTCCATCAGAGCCACTGCCCTCCTCACACACACCTCTGAACTCGCCAGCCCCCACCCATCGGCTCCACCCCGGGCAGACCCTTCCCTGTATGGCTCGGGGTCACCCCCTCAGGCCTGGGCTCTGCCAGATGGCAGCTTGATGCCCTGTTCGTGGGACACCAGGAATCCCCAAGTGCATCCTCCTGGAGTCAGGGGCTCTGGGGTGTTTGATGCACAAGCGGGTGTCCTGGAAGGGGCAGGTTGGTGTCCTCCACGAGCTCTCCTGTCCTTTGTCCTCAGCTGGGAGCTCACAGAGCTGCCCCGTGGCTCGGGTTCCACATGGAGAGCCCACATGGGGAAGGAGAGGAGTCGGGGAATCCCACTGTCGTACCAACTCAGGATCCCCCGAGAAGCCCAGAGGAAGTGCTTCCTCTCAGGATCCACTTTCCTTCCTCCGCCATCAGGAAAAGTCCCTCGCTCCTGCCTTCTCCACGCTGGAGATGACCCGGCGGGGGTCAGGGCTGGAGACCTCAGCCTGGGAGGCCACCTGGGGGTGGGGGCAGGGCCAGCCTGGCCTGGAGGCGCGTTCAGGGCTGTCTCCCTCGGTCGGGAAATGCCTCTGCAGGACCAGAAAGACTTTTCCTCGTACCTCACGGGCTCTGCAGCCGTCACCTCGAGAACTATGTTTTTAATAGAATTCACTGGAGACGTATAAAACGGTGCCCGTGTGGAAGAGAGAGCCAGTCCGGGTGCTGTCCCTCTTTGGGGACATCAGGCGAGGTGAGTGTAGTGAGGGCTGCGGGTCCTGCCCTGGGGACGGACCCAAGAATGTTCCCTGAGGGTCAGGCGGCAGGCGGGCGGGCAGGGCGGGAGAGGAGCCCGGGAATCCCTCCTGGGAGCCAACACGCAGGAAGTGAGCGTGGGTGCGAAATGTCACCAGCCCAGGCCCACCAGAATGGCCCAGGCGGTCCTCCTAGAGGGGCCCACCAGCCGCGGCCCGCCCACGGCCACCGAACACGAAGTCCACTCCAGACCTCGCCGCATGCCTGACCGCCCCACAGGGCTGCCCACCTCTCCCTCTCTACACAGACCCCCAGCTTGCCGGCCATGTGCGCCTTCCAGCCTTGCTGGGGGTCCTGCCCCTGCCCCCCGGGCCCCTCACTGACCCCCACCTGCTGGTGCCTTTGTAAACCCTCTGGATTCTTCTGGGCCCAGTAGACATGAGAGGAACCCATGAAAACACTTCTTAGTCTCTGGCCAAATGGATTCGGGGGATTCATTCATTCCATTCCGGGCCCTGGGCTCTGGGCCTTGCGCACCATGGCCAAGGCGGCCTGTGGGCACCATGCTGCGGACCAGGGGCCTGCGGCCAGAGCGGGCAGCGGCCAGCAGAAGGAGCCAGGAGTCACCGCCCCGGCCTCCCCACCCCGAGGCTGCTTCCCTTGGTCTAGTCAGTGAGGTCCTTTTTGGACGACTCTTCCCAGCCGCAGGCCGAGGGCTCCCGCCACCAAGCCCACGTGTCCCACAGCCTGGCCGGGTGACGTCCGCCGGAACACCACGGCCTGGCGGGTTTCCTAACCCAGAGCCTGACACCACAGCCCCAGAAGGCCTGGTTTTGCAACAAATCCCTTGAGTTTCTTAAATCAGCACCCGGGGGGTTTGCTGGCTTGGCGTGTGACGTCGCACACAGCGTTGTCCTCAGCCCCCGTCAGCTTGTGAACCAGCGAGCATTTGCTCGTGTTTTCGGATCAGCCATTGGCCGTTTTGTACTGCGGGGGTCACGCACCGGCCCTTCCGCGCCCTCCTCATGTCTCCCCACGCAGAGCTCATGAGTCTGGGCTTCCTGGAGAGCGGCTCCGCCCCGGGGGGACTGAAGCACCTGGATGATGTCACAGATGTCGTGAGGAAGGACGTAAGTGCTGCTGCGTGCCCCCGGGTGCCAGGACGAGCTGGGGTGTGCGGGAGATCCGGGGGTGGGGGGTGGGGGGGCAGGGATGGCACCCGGAGGCAGGGGAGAGAGGAGAGGACCGTGTTTGTGGGCCCCACGCTGCCCACAGCCCAGAGCAGAGCCGTGGGCCCGACATCCCCGCCAAGGTGTGGAGAGCCCAGGGGCCACTCCTGGCACCGGGGACAGCGCGGCCCCGCCCGGGGTCTCAAAGAAAGTCTGGAACCCAGCAGCTCATCGCTGGGGGCACTCTCCGAACACAACAACGGAATGTTCTGGCTCCCTCGAAGGCCGTCTCTGGCTGGCTGGGACAGCGGCCTGGGAGGAAGTGCCTCAAGATGACTCAGGAGGCCCCGGCTCGGCCAGCAGCCCTTTGCGGCTGATGGGCAGGGGCTGGGCAGCCTCCCCTGGTGGCCCCGGGGCAGGAGGACCTGTTCTGTCCGTCTCTGGAGCAGGAGAGGGGGCTGAGAGCCACCAGCCGTGGGCAGGGCGTCTGGGCCGGGAGTGCCGGCTGCTGAAGGGGGCGGCCGGCCACTTGGAGGGGCCCATGTGGGGTTGTGCTGTCCCTGCCCCACGGCTCTGCCCCCCGTCAGGCCCGGAGCCGGTGGTCCGAGGGGCTGGCCCTCCTCTCTGGCCGCGCCTGGGGAAGCCGGGCAGCCTCGTCGCACCCTGGGCCCTCCTGCCCCAAAGCTGGTGCCGTCTCTTTGTGGGGCACACCTGAGCCCCACACCCTTAAACGCCATGCCCATGGGCCTCCTCCAAGACCCCCCGTCTGCCCTCACCCCATCCCCTTTAGACGACCCCCCGTGGGGTCTTTCTGGAGCCCGTCCCTGCGTGATGCTTCTCCCAGACCCCAGGGCAAGGTCGTCCCTCAAGGGTAAGACAGGGCGTGGGACAGGCGGGTGACACGAGGCCTCCCTTGCCCAGGGTATTTCCCTGCCCCTCAGCTAAGCTCACGGACACCCGCCTTCCCCGCGGTTGGGAACAAGGCGGGACACCCGTCTTCTGTGGCAAGCCTCTTCGATAGTCCCGTGACACCTGCGATCAGTGACGTGTGGCAGCGTTCCTGATGCAGTACTGGAAACCTGTGTTCTCTCCGTAGCCCCGGGGACACCTGTTCCAGCAAGCCCAGCTCAGGGGTGCGTGGCGTCCCTCAGTGCCCCACGCCGCCCCTCCGGGCTCACTCCCTTTCGCGAGGCCCGTGACGCAGGCCACGCTGTTGGCAGCCCCTCCTAGAGGTGGGGAGCAGCGGTCCGCACCTGCACCTGCTGCGGCTGTCCCGGACGGCTCTGGTCCAGGCTGGAGGGGGGCCGGCAGCTGTGGGGGACCTGGAGGTCCTCGCTTAGACTCGGTTTTTCTCTGTGCGAAACTTCACTGCCCCAGGTTCCGGGGGCGAGCGGCTGACTGTTGGGACCTTCAGCGCACGCTTGGCTTCTCGCCCCTGACGCCCTCTCTTCTGTGCAGACGACCCTGCTGTCCCTGAGCCCGGTGGCCAGACGCCCCCAGGGGCACACTGCGTGTTATTAGCCCTGGGGGGGGACACGGGGACTGGCTGGAGGGGACGCAAGGATTAGGGGCATATCATGGGATGTGGGCTCTTGGTTAGCAGCTCGGGGTGGTCAGAAAACCAGTCGTCAGGTGTCTGGGTCTCCCGTTAATTTCTTTATTTAATAGAATGGCCTAGAACCGTCATTAGCGGGAATCCCTCGGGCCCCGGAGAGGGGTGCTTGGGTCCCTTTGTTGAAGAGCGTCCACGGTTGTCTGCCCGGGTATCAGTGGGGGTGGACTTTGTCTTTCTTCCTGGGCCTGCAGGGCCGGCTGATGGCTGCTGATGGCTGGCGGGGACGGTGGTGGCCAGCGGTCAGCTCCCGGCCACCAGCTGTCGCGTCAGGGGCGCGCACAGGATCTGTGTGAATCCCAGCCAGTCACTGTGCCGACCTTCCCGGGCGGTTCTGTAAGATGCAGAGGGGTCGCCTCAGATCCCACATGCCCTGCGGGGTGCTGGTCTCTCCTCAGAGGACAGAGGCTGGGCTCCGCGTGTCCCCGAGGCCGGGGCCACCAAGAGCCACTGTGGCAGGTCTGACCTGGTGGGCCTCACTGTCCCATCAGGGCCCTGTGGGGTCTCAACCCTATCGCAAGCCACCCACCGGGACCCACGGGGTGCCCGCTGCTGTGGGGGCACTTGGGCTGTGCGAGCATGTGGCCGGACAGGGCTGTCCCGCGCGGCCATCGCAGTGTGCCCGTCTCTGGCAGGTGGAAGCGTGGGGCCCGTTTGACCTCGTGTACGGCGCCACACCCCCCGTCGGCCAGGCCTGCGACCACCCGCCAGGTAAGACGCGGCGGCCCGCCCGTGTCACGGCCCTCTTGTCCCCACCGTCCTGCACCTGAGCGACAGCAGCGTTCGCCAGCGGCCTGCGCTCCTCCAAACAGCCATCCCCGGCCTCCCCGCATGAGCAACCTGCCCCCTTGGGTATGGTCTGGTGGGTTTGAGCCGCGGGAAGCCACACTGCACCGGACAGTGGGGGTGGGGAATCTGTCACCCCAGAAGCTTCCCGGCCCCCACCTGCCGCGCACCATGTCTCTGTCGCACGTGCTCTCCCGGACACAGGCAAGCACTTTGCTCGCGGGCACCTCTCGCCCTGCGCTATTTTAAGTGCCTCGGTCCCTTCCTGATGCAGGCGCGCTGGGGGAGGCTGGGGGAGGCGCCCGGGGCCACACGGACCCCAGGGCTCTTGAGGCCCAGTCACTCTGGAGGGGACAGGCCTGCCCTGGGGAGCACGTGAGGGCCCAGGCCAGGCCAGCCACACCGGAATGGCCGTCCCACAGTCACCCCTGCCTCCCCAGCCCCTCAGCACCCCCTCCCCACACCTGCCCACCCTCCTCCAGCCCCTTAGCCTCCCCACACACCGCACCCCCTCACTGGGCACCCTCCCCCCACCCCTGCACACCCCCCCCCAGTGTGGTACCTGTTCCAGTTCCACCGCGTCCTGCAGTACGCCAGGCCCAGCCCAGGCAGCCGGCAGCCCTTCTTCTGGATGTTCGTGGACAGTCTGGTGCTGAGCCAAGATGACCGGCGCGTAGCCACTCGCTTCCTGGAGGTACGAGCCGCAGTCCAGGAGGGTGTCGGGGTGGGTCAGGGTGGCCTCCCCGGGGACAGCAGGGCTCACGGCCCCACCCGGAGCCCCCCCTTCTCGGGACTCAGGAGGGCCCACGGCTCTCCCGAGGCACAGACCCTGCGGTGGCCTTGAAGGGTGTCCCGCAGCCCGTGGTTCCTGCACTTCCTTCCGCACTTGCCAGCGTGGGGCTCCCGTCCGTGCCCAGAAACATCTCCGTATGCCGTGCACGCGGTCACACGCCACACACGTGCACAGAACCACACGGGCCTTCGGCCTCTGGGCGCCAACAGCCTTGGGTGTTCTCTCCGCCCCCCCTGAATTCTGACCCTGAGAGCAGCCGCCCTGGGCTCCCCGGCCAGGGCCCTCCCAGCACTGACCCCCTGGGACAGGACACCCTTGGGGCCTGGCGTCCCCTCTCAGGACGACCCCCCCACACTCACAGAGGAAAGCTCCTGGCCACCGGGCCCTGTCCCCTCGTCTGGCTACCTCGGGGCTGCTTTACGCAGATGCCTCAGATCTGCGGACGCTTTCTCCGAACCAGCCCCTCCAAGCCCCTCTGCTGAGGACCGGCCACCCCCGTTTGCCACTTCAGTGGCGTGTTTTGTGCGGCTTTACTTTGCTCAGTCGCAAAAAAGGACCGATGCAGGGCGTGTGTGGGCGTCTGTGGGACGGACCCAGGGGGCGTGCGTGTACCAAAGGCTGTCATCCTCGCGGCCGCAACCATCTGCCGTGGAGCAGTCTTGGTCCCCGGTCCCCCGCTGGAGACACAGGCCCACAGGGGTGCGCACTCTTCCTTGCAGTCCTGCTGCGTGGGGGCCTGGGTCCCCCTGAGATTTTCCGGACCTTCCGCCTTGCCATCTGGTGGGTTCGGATGTGTGCGCGACTCACTGTGCTGCCCGTCGGGCTCCTTTGGCTCCGAGGCCTTACCGCGTCACCTTGAGGATCACAGCGGTTTCTGGCCGACTCGGTTAGACACTCTGGGTGTCTGGGCCGGTCCTCTGCAGAGAGCAGGCGCCTGTGGGACGCTGTCGGAGCGCGGCATTGGCGGGACACCCCATCCGGGTCTGCCTGTCCCAGAAATGGGTCCCGCGCTCCCTGCGCCCCGCATTGTCTCTAAAAGCCCCCGTCTTGCCGTGCACGCGCGTTCCTGCCGGGGTGGGGAGACCTAGACGTGCCGCACATGGTACCGTGTGTTTTCGCCCTGGCGGGTGACCGGTGTTCTGCACATTCACAACAGCCGCGTGTCGGCTTCCAAAGGAGAGAGAGCTTCGTCTCAGAACCCCGCAGAAACAGGCGAGGCACGGAACGTGCACGTCGATGACGGTAGTTGGGGCGACAAAGGAGAACGAGGCGATCGGGTGCTGACGACACCCAGCCTTCTCAGCGGGGGAAGCCCCGTGGAGACACCCGGGGTGGGCAGCAGGCCCGGGCGGGGCGTCCTCCCCGCAGCGAAGACTTCCGCTGACTGTCCCCGGAAGGGCCGTGTTTCTAGGGCCTGTGACGGGGTCTGAGGGTAAACGTCTGTTCACCTCCGTGCAGTTTGGAGCGCGGCATTTCCACGTTCTCGTGTCTCTACGTCCTCCAGGAGGCCGGGCTGTGTGTCTGCCTCCCCTTGGGGATCCCATCCTGGGGGGCCAGCCCCGCCTGGAGCAGGAGGGGATGTGAGACAAGATTCGTAGCCCTCGGTGTCCAGAACGGAAGGGCTGGCTCTGACCTGCAGGCCTGACCATGTGTTGTAGAGAACCGGGTCCGGGGGCCGCTCACCAGCCTCATTCCCCGGCTGCCCGGGCAGGTCCCGGTGGTGGGTTCTGGGGGACAAATCAAGAAACATCTGTCCCTGCGGAACAGGCAGCCGCTGCGTGTCTCTCCCCGCCGGGCCTGTGTGTGTAGGACGAGACCCGTGTGTCCACAGCGATGGGCTCGGGAACGATGCGCGCGGGCCGACTCAGCCTGCGTCCTGCTGGGTGTCAGGGACCAGGGGGCTTCCTGCCTCAGTTTCTCCTTGATGCCCCCTCCCTCCTGTGGCTCCCCCTCCCATTGGTGGAGGGTCCATCTCCCTCCTACCCCCACCCCGTGCTTCAGGGGCTCCAGGATCCGGCAGCCCCCTCGGCTCCTGAGGCCAGCCTTTCAGAAAACTCTTTTCTCCCAACAAAGCCTTTTATCTTCCTGAAGCAAAACAGCCTTAGCAGCAAGACCACGGATGTCACTGTCCTGCAGGGGGGTCTTCCTCTGTGCTGGAGCGGAGGGGAACCCGCGCCTGCGACCCAGGGGAACAAGGAAATGGGAAGTCCACCCGAGAGAAGTTTTATGACACGATCTCAGCCTCTTTCCCTCAAAGGTCGTAAAGGGAAACAGATGTGACACACAAGCACGGTAGCCGGAGACACAGTCAGGAGGGCCCCACGTGGTGGCTGAGGCCTGCTGGCACCGTGGGGGCCAGAGGTCGTCCCCCTGATTCCCCAGCCGACATTCCCACCCTGCAGGCCGACCCCGTGACCATCCAGGACGTCTGTGGCCAAGCCGTCCAGGACGCCGTGCACGTGTGGAGCAACATCCCAGCTGTGAGAAGGTTCCCTGTGCGTTCCACGGCCCGCGGGAGCTTGGGGGGCACTGGCGGGGGCTTGGGGGGCACTGATGCGGCATTGGTTTCACCAAAGGAACACAGAGCCCTGCCCGGGCTGCCTCTGTGCCCAGGTCAGGGGCTGGGTTTGGCGGGCCCTAGGTCCACCCCCCCGAATTCAGGGCATGATCAAGGTCAGGAATGCCGGCTCCCACACTGGGGACCTCTCCCCAGCTGCTGGCACTGGGCCTGTCCGGGCTTCTCCCCTCGGGGCTTTGCGGTGCTTCCCCAAGTCCCGGGAAGAGAGTCCCCGCTCCCAGACACACGTCACCTGGCCATGTGCGCCTCCCCCCGCAGCCCCTTGAAGCTGTGCCCTGCCCTACACACCCCACACCTGCACACACTCACCCCTGCCTGCTCACACCCATCCCCACACCTGCGCACGCTCACACCGGCCTGCTCACACTCACTCTCACTTTCTCGCTCACACAGGCTCACCCACGATGCATTTCTGGGTTGTACTGAACAACAGTCCCTCAAACACGCCTTTGCGCTCTGGGCCCCCCCCGTGCCCCTCCCCCGCTGCCAGAACATTCTTGGGACTGTTCTTTCCCACAAACGTCCCGTCTGCCTCGCAGCCCCCCGCATCCCCACACCCCTGCTCCCCCCAGCCCCACTGCTCTGGACAGCTTTCTGCTCCCAGGACGCCTGCCCTCACGCTCCTGACCTCAGCTGCACGCGGTGCCCCAGAGCCCCTAAGGACACAGCCGCCCCCTCCCCCAACCCCATGCCTTGTGGCTCCTGCCCTTGTGTTGAGCCGACATTGACAGGATCCAAGCGAAGTCGTGTCTTTTCCTGACAGCTTCTGGACACTTCTGTCCACCCGCCTCCCAATGCCACACGCCCCGGCAGGTGCTCACGGCGGAGCGCGCCCGGCCCGGCACTCGCCAGGCCCACACCAGGTTCTGAGTTTAGGCGGAGCCCGGGGGAAGCAGCGTCCACACATTTTCTGAAGCCTTGACCGCCTTGACCGTCAGGCCGCCCCTTCTGCCCCGCCCGCGCTCTCAGCGCCCTTCCCCCTCTTCCCCCTCTTGGGGGCGGGCAGGCGGGGGCCAGGGAGATGCAGGTGCCCAGGGAAGCACTGGGGCTCCTGGTTCCCAGAGACAAAGCTGGAAGCAGCGTCTTCACACGGACGCTTTCCCTCAGGCTCACGTTGTCTCCAGCCTCATGTTCCCTGCAAGTGGGAGCATTTTGCCCACAGCCAGAGTCGTCCCTTGGAGGAGGGGCTGCCCCGGGGAAGCATCTGGGGAGGGGACTGGGACGGGCACTTGTGTTTCTGGCTCCTCATTTGTGGCCTTAATCCCCGAAGTAAACCCAGAGGAGTTCCCCGACTGCGGTGGGGTGCCTGGGAGCCCGAGACGGGGGCGCAGGGTGGGGGGCCGGCTGCCGCGTCTGGAAGCCGTGAGCCCCGCCGTCTGCTCAAACTGCAAGGCGGGCGGTGTGTGTCTCCCCCGCGGCTGGCCCCACACGCGGGGCCTCCAGCGCCGGCAGCCGCAGGACCCTCGAGGACCTGCTCCATATGGCTCGGCTCTCGGGGACAGGGGTTCCCCGGGAATGCCGCGCGGCACAGTTTGCCCAACCTTG